GCATGGAGCAACGCGACCTCGGGGCTACGACTTGCGAGCTCGCCGAAACTCATCTGACGGGGAGTAGTTCCATCTGAAAAAGCCTTGATTGTATTGCACATGCACGCTGAATGGCGTGGCCCAACGACTGCACGGGCGCGTCTTATCTCGTCCAGTGACTGAAATACGGGGCCGGGGAACTCGCGAAGACAGCGAGTCCACGAGGATAAGGCGAGCTGGAGGTCCGCTGATGTCTATTCCTGCTCCGTCGAGGAACGAGCCTACAGCGATAAGACGACGCTTAGCGCACGACGAGGTGAATTCATGGAAGCATGCGCTGTTGGGAATTTCCAATGTCAACCGCAGCTGCCTGTAGCCCGGCACACGGTGCCAAGGTAAGTAGATGACGATCTTTCTGGACTCCGTCAGTATTCATCCCCGAACGATCCGGGTCTCGATTCCCGGCCGCGGAAGAGTTAGAATATGGTGGAGGCTCCGCTGATAGTGTTGTCAGCGGACAGAGGAGCTGCTATAAAATTCTACAAGAAGAGAAGGACGCGCAGTTTTAAAATGCCTCCCAGAGAGCGAACGTCGAAAATTATTCATGAGGAGCCGCGGAGTGATTCCGCATGTTCTAAGGTAACCGAGCGCTGAAAGTTTGGATACGTGAATTTTGTAACCAACAGGTTAGTTGTACTGGCGGATTCTCGACTTCGCTCACTCAGAGAACGAGCTGATCCTCCGATTCCAATCCTCTGATCGTCCTCCGATTCCAGAGAACGGACTACCTGGGTCCGACCCCTATCGGCTGCCATCCGCCGACGATTGAGCGAGGGGGCCAAACCTCAGACGAAGCACGATCGGATCGTGTTGCGCATCTCCCCTCTCTCTCCGCACTCTTTCCCTCTCTCTCACTCACTGTCGAAGATTCCAAATCGGGAATCAGTTCATCAATGTTATTGGCTAATGGTTGTCTCATATCGCATGCCTAACTGAATGCTTCGCTCGGAACGCTCAATCGCGCCCTGGCTTGGAGCTGAACCAGAGAAGCCCGCTAGGGACCCGTGCAAGTAATAATTATCTTCTCGTTCACGTCGTCGTCGTCGTCACATTCATCTCTTATCCATTAACAACTCACAATCAGTTGCGGAGAGCGTGTCTCGTCCCACGAGGGACGCGTCCTAGCCGTAATAAGTCCGTCGTCAGAGCTTCGCTCCCGCGCGGACGACTCGCACGAGAGCGGTCCATTTCTCACCTGAAACTCCGCTTTGTGCGAAATTCGATTTTTTCCTGATTCGAATTTCCATTCCGCGGATTTCACGAAATGAGTCAGCAGCGTCCAGCACATACTTTCGGAGTGATCCCTACGCGGCGATGCGTTCAATTCATCTGCGAAAAAATCGGACTGGCTTTCGATCTCCGTCGCGTCGCTGGAATGATTGTTCCGATTGAGTGGAAGACGGTGCTCAGAGCAGCTCCACTCATCTCGCTCCCCTTCAGAGAATCGATGGGATAATCCAATAGCTTCAAGTGAATGCGCCAGAATTCCTAAGTGGTTCCTCTTCTCGACGACCCATCCACCACGAGAGCGTTCCTGCTCCACCGCCGCCTGTGCAGAGACCCCTCGCGAACAACGAAACCGACGTCAAGCGAATGACCTTGTGCTTCGAGGAGGACCTCTCGCTCTTTTCATTCGGGCTCATACCCGCGCTAATAGGTTTGTCATAGGAGTCCAGCCCACTTGGTTGTTCTTGTCGGCCGATGTCTCGAGACCTCCTCATGCTTGAGAGCCCGCTAAGCGTTCGCATCCCCCGCACAGTTAGGACGAGATCCCTCCGAACCAGAACACAAGCACTGGGTACTAGTGTCGATTATGCTTTCTCGGTGATACCATCTACGCCTATCAACGCTGAGTATGGAGGAAGAAAAAATGCTTCCGGACTTTTAATTTCACCTCCCTTTGCTGTGCGAAGGGAAGAAATGGACTGGCGAGAAACCCATCCTGCCGATATCACAAGCTCTGGTTCAAACCCACACCTTCCATGCTTGATGAGCGATTTCAATGTGCAAATGACTCGCGATTTTCAGGACGAATTCGGATTCTCTCGCAAGTGAGGGAAAATGACAAAGAGGCGAGTCGTAGTCGCGTTGAATGCATCCTGAGAACACCTGGATCGAGAAATGGCTCGTAGCCTCGTGGCCCTTCATTCGAGGATCGCTATAATTTCGGAGGCGTGCGCGTGTACGATCCGGGCTGATTGTTGGTTCTTGTGGTCGTCGATGACGTGACCGCTGCCATCGTTCATCCTGCTTGTTCGTGGACCAACCGACCGGTGTGGAGAAACGAGAGGAAGATTCCCCGGATTTTCACGAGTCACGATGAAGTCCGGGAGACGATCGATACATTTTGTAGCCCCCTCGTCAATCAAATTAGAACAAAGAAGTCCAAAGCGACTAATTAGGGCGAATTACAGTCCCCTCCCTGCCCCTCCCCCCCTCCGAGCTTCTGCCCCGGCAGAACTTGGCAACAATTGGAATGGAGAGTGAATCGACAGAATAGTACGAAGTCGACTAATGCTTCTTGTTCATTGTATGTTATTTATTCATGAAACGTGCATCCGAGACCTCTTTTCTATGATGTGCTCGGATAATGATAAATGGAAAAATCGCACTAGGAGACTATTTGTTTGCACAGAGTGAGCAGTAACGACAATCGTATCACAAACAACAAGCACCACCACCACCACCACTGGATAGAACATCAGCCTCTCGTCGGAGCAGCGAGACAGCGACTAGGGACTTCGTTTCGCTACCATGGCCAATTGGTTAGGCCGCGGTCCAGGATACCTCGGGCTATTGTGCCACAGACGCCAACCGAAGGTTGTTGTGCCTTGCCGTCGGTGAGCTCTGCCGAAGGAGGAAAAACTGAAGCATGCTTGGCTTCTCGATCGTTTCTCCATCCGGCCAAGCGACCGACTAGCCGAACGAAGGCCATCCAACCCGCTGCCCAGAGGCAATTGGTCGAATCGCCGTTGCTTCACGTGAAACAAACGATCTGGCGAACTCGCGACTCGCGAGCCTACGAAGGTTCGCGGCGGATCCCGAGCTGGCCAATCGATAATTTCCGAACTCAAAATCATCGGTCCGTTCACTGTCGGTAGTTGACGCGACGGCCGACTCCGCAAGCGTTTTAGACGGCTGAGATCAAATTCACCTCTCGCGCACATCACCGGCCGAGTGCGAGGACCCATGGCGCATGTTCTCTACCTGGAGAGCGTCCTGGGAGGTAAACATATCACGTCAACATCACAGACCGGGATAATTTCTGTGAAAGGGGAATTTCGATTGGGTCGGGCTTCGAACGCCGGATCCCGTCAACTGATGGCTCCTTCTATGCCTGTGTCATCTACAAGCGGAAGATGTCATTTCCGGAGCTCAGATATCGAAAGAGACATTCTGGCTACGCTATCGCCGTTCTTCCAGTGTAATGAATTGAGGAACCGTCAGTCGTTTCGGAGGTTCGCGAGCAGATTCGGTGATACGTGGTGCCGGATGTGGAAACAATGATCATAATATCGACGGAGTCTCGCATTTTACGGCTTGTTGATTCAGCACGAATTTCCGCGTTCAGGAAAGCTCAAGGACTCGAGGGAACCAGCTCACTCATCCTTGATCTGGTGACTTCACTGATTCGGCTGTTCCCGTCGGCACAGGGATATTCGAGCTCCATCATCGAAAATCGAGCCGGTGGCACACGGTGAGGATGCGGCTCGCGACCCGAGCCGGGTGGAACACGTCTACAGCTCGCCTGCTCCGAGCTGGGCGAGCCTGCGTGCGACGCCGACGTAGCTCCGGAGGGAACCTCACGGGGGAGGAAGAGAGAGCGAGACAGAACGAATTCATTCCGGAACGTGAAGACAAAGGGGCCCGACGGGAGACTCCCGTTCTTTCTCTTGTTCCGATGCTGTCGGGGCAGAGGAGGAAGAAGCCCAACTCGCTACTCTGCGAGGGATAGATTTGTATTCAGATGCTGTCTTCGCCTTCCTCCCGTGGAGTGCCTCCGACCCGGAGTCTCGGGCAAACTCGGGGAGAATTCTGCAGAAAATAGTTCGATTAATCCCCTGCATCACCGATACGGGAGCTTCCGAAATGAAAATAGGTCGTAGTTATTTTTGAAGTTCCCCGTGCGCTCTCTCCTGTCATACTCCGGCTAAACCCGTCAGCGACATATGCCGCCGCATTCAGGTACCAGCGTCTTGTCCACGAATATTTTTTCCCGAAGAGTATTCGGTGACTCCCGACTCGAAATTACGTGACGATGACCGCTCGAATCTGCACAGGGTATTCGAGTAGATGATTCCAATCGTCGAACCCTCCGGCCTTAGGCATTCTCCCGATCGCCCGTAATCGCAGAACGGAAATGTCAATGGAGGATGGAAAAAAAAAACACTGACCGATTTTGAGAAACTGATGTCAGATGCGAAACTTGAGGCCTTCTGGAAGGAGCGGAAGGATGCTGGATCCGATGACTGACTACGCTCGATCTGACGATCCCGGGCCATCAACGACTCGCTAACGATACTTCTCATGCCTTCCGAAAAACTTCAGCCGGCATCGGCGACGATGTTCCAGAATACGCACCGGAATTCGAATGATAGATTATGTGATGTGCTGGTCCATCACGTTGAGACGCGTCGCCTGACCTTATCACAATTCTGGGAAACGATATTTTACGGGAGATGCGAAAACAACGACCTTCAGAAACCATCATTCCAGCAGCCCTTACTCAAAATTTATACGCAGGCGGGCTTCACTCTATCGCATGTGATTCGTGGGTGGTCGACGGAGCACGCCGACCGGAGCGTATCTTTCACGCTGAAATGTTACGGAGAAGCTGCGGGGTGTCGACCTGAATTTTTAGCGTACGAAATCTACGAGCGTATAATCCGAAGCCACCCGTCGGCTCAATGAGAACCAACGTGGTCTCGAACCGCTAAGTCTCACCAGGGACCTGGTCGTTTCTACGCGTAGTGTTGTGCCTTTGCATTCGTAGGAGTATGACTATCAGCTAGCGTGCGCTGAATACGCCGAGCGTTGAGTTCAGTGCGCACCGGGACCGGAGCAACGACAGCAGAAGTGCCAGTGCATCCAGAGGATCCGAGCCGACACCGACCAGTTGTGAAACTATTTCTCCGGGAATGCAGCTCTCGGACTCTCCTTCGAGATATGAATAGTTCCCCCATCTACGGTGAGCGACTCAATCGAAGCACTTTTTCTCAAGTGCCGAATCGGAGTATGTACCGGCGATTTTCGTCGGCTCCGACGAGTCGAAGCGAAATTGTGCGTCTCCATTTCGCTGACGACCCGAGCATCGAGTGGCCATTGGGGGTTGTGACTTCTGTCCGAACGCTTCCAGGATGCTTTCTCCTCCTGGCCTGGCTGAGCCTGAGCTGCCTGCACCTCACTCACAATGGAGTCGATGGCGCCCAGAAGAAATTTACTTTCCTCGATTGCGTAGCTCAGGAACATCCCGCCACGGTATCCCCACGCTTCCAGGAGTGCGTTGACGCATCCTCTTCCAGCGGAACATTGTTCCGCTTCATCAATGTAAGTTGAGAAATATAGATAGATGTCGCTTCTCGGAATCGCAACGCCCAGCACCGCGCTGCGTAGTTCGTTCCAAAACTCCGCTGCTTCGGCCGGAAGCTTCACGCACGTGGTGGTATCTTTCGTTCACGGCGGCCCCGAGACATGAAAAAGCGAATACGTGTTTTTTCCCCAAACGCAGGGCTTCGAGTGCATCCTTCGACTCGCCAATGCGGTAAGTCCATGACAATTGGAGCAAATAATGATTGTTCTCACAGGAGAGGGATTCCGGCCACTCTACGCTGTGGAATCAATAGTAGATGTTTGAGCAGATTCGGCCCGATCGCAGTGTAGACGTCGGTACACTTTTCGCGGCCGTTGGAGATTTCAAAGGCACTCGTTTCGAGAAGGCTGTTCTGGACTGTGAAGCACCGCTCCCCGCAATTAAATTCACCATCTGCATGCTGGAAAGATTCCGAGAGGTCAGTACACAGCTCGCAATAGAAGCAACCCGGGCTCAGCCCTCATCAGCCATCATCAGCGCCCCGACCCGCCAATGATCATCTAATTTCGTCGATGACTGTATTTTCCAGATATGCAAAAATCGTATTGTGATTCCTCGTCCCTCGAAAAACGGAATTGGATCATCTACTCCGGCACCCTCGTCAACGCCGCCTCGAGCAAAAACTAAACCTTCCAAAAACAGCTTGAAGAGACGACCTCGCTGAATGAATCGATTCTATACTATTCCAATTGAGGAGTTGGATTCACTCGAACTGTTCGGGAACGGGTCGTCCCAGTAGAAGAACAGTCAGATAATCCAATATTCGCAGATTTCCTTCATCCGCGATGAATTCCATGCGATTTAGGGTTAGACACTTTCCGAAGTGGACTCCTTGGCCACCTCGGCGTCGTTATACGATTCTTTCCTAACGGCATTAAATCAAATGACCTCATCAGGTATTTAGTCCTTGATTCCGCCTCAGGGAACCCGGACAAACTGACCCCTTCAATCTTCGAATCACACGCGCTCCCTCGATTCCTGGCAGAGGAGGTTGGAACAAACTCTAATTCTTGATTATTCAACGACATCCCAGGGTCGACGGCGAGTGGGGCCGCGGCTCGGTATCACGGGTCGGAAGTATCCTCAGGGTGCGAGCGAGAGCAGCTCCAGTAGTTTGTGAATTGATCCGAGTTCGGCAAGGGCGTTGGAGCAAAATAATGACATCCTCGCGGGATCTCGGCGCTGAGGTTCTCGTCCCTAGAGGAGACCGCGAACGAAACTTTCGAAAATCGCTGCCCATTCTACTTAATGACAAAATGTCATCGTGGCAATTCGTACTCGGAGGCGGCTCCCCCAGGCCGTCCGAGGAGGTGTTCGGAGCGAATGCGCTGTCGTCGCGAAGTAGAAAGCTGTTACTTAATTCGATCCGAGAGTTTCCTCCTTTGTTGGCTTCGTTATCACCCGGCACGCTCAGCAGAATGAAAGCACCTTGTCTGACATCTTATTAGTCTACCGACAGCCGTATGTTGTACACAGAGCGGTTGGAGCCAAGTATGAGCAAACAATAATACACATATTAGGCGGTTTATTCGCTCCATGGTTTTTATACGGCGGTGTGACTCCCCGTCCGACACGCTGGCTCCGCCGAACGTCGTCCTTCCCGACTTGCCATTCTAGCATCTCTCTCCGCCACCGTCTCCTTGCCCTGACACGAGAAATCGAGCTAACGAAAACGGTGACTTCGCGACCCTGAAAGAAGGTGAGTTCGGGGACGGAAGTGACCAAAGCTTCGAAAACTCCCTCGATCGAAAGAAGAATGCAGTGAATCCGAATGCGGGACCGATTTTTCGGATCAACTCTCATCTGAATCCACCAGGGCCGGAATCCTGACGCGGTTTGATTTATTCTATGGTCCATGATCCAGCCTTCAATTATTATTGTAGCTCCCGAGAGGAGGGGGCGGAAACACACTCAATCGAAGATCGTTCAATTGGGATGAGGTCCATTCCGCAAGCGGATTATTTTACGCGCTCTCCTGAGTTTCCCGTAGAAAATCCGCTGCGACAAAGGCCAATTCGGTTCCGCTGAAGACAGCCTAACCAGCAGCGGGAGACGGGGCAACGCGACGGGCGGGGGAGTCCAACATGATGTTTGGTCGAAGTCGCGACCGGGAGGGAATAGAAATGTCGCAACGCCTCGTTTCACTACGTATTGCGCAAGAGGTTAGCCGGCTGTCAAAAGCGAGAGCCCCTCGCAATGGTTAACTTCGTTCACCCGTCGGTATTCTCCTCTCCCACATCATAATTTGTCTCGGCTTCAGCGAGAGTATGAAGGCATCAGAAATATTAAAAAGGAGATAACAACCAATTTCCAGCTCCCTCGAGGTTCGCAGGTCGTTTTCCTGCCGCGAATTACTGCGCTCGTTCTTCATCAGGCTCTCGATGCGATTTGCGTCGTCGCGTCGATCCGAGTCGAGATGTGAGATTTGAAGTTGAGAGCCCCACTTCGATCCGGTGACGACATCGGTTCCTCGATAAGGCCTGAGCGTCCATGGCGATCACAATGTCGGGAGTTGGGAAATAATTGAGGATGAAGTGTACAGGTCGCGAGTCTGGGAGTATTGGGATGACATTTCTCCCCCCTGATGAATAGATTTTCGCATGCGGGCCGCTGCTCGGTGTGCGAATGATTTCTCTGTGACAAGAGTCATCTCTTTCCACGAAGCTGACCGGAAAATCGCTCCGAAGACAACCTCTTGAGACCAAAAAGTCTGCTCCAGCTCTTGAAGCCCCTCGATTCTTAAGCCAGCGCAGCGGAGCAGCAATTTTTCTCTCCATTCTTGAGATTTCGAGACGTTTCAGCACGCGCGCACCAAACTCGGAGTGAGGATTCTTCTTCGGAGAATCTCAGTCAAGTCATCGAGTCTGCCGGAGTGGTCCTCGGCCGTCTTCGTCGGCTGTAACTGCTTTCTCGATAGATTCGAAGTCAGGTGGCGAGGCTAATAATCGATTCGCTATCGGTAGATCAGAACCAATGATACACTGATATTGGAATAATATCGAGCGACCGAATGAACCCACTGCAAACAAGCAAATATCCTTGGCGACATTGTAAGCACAGGCTTGGAGTTTGAAGAAGAAAGAGGAGGAAAAACAATAGCTGGGTTGAGAGGAAGCTCCGATCGATTACTACCCGGATGCATCGCACTGCCTAAAGGAGAGAATGAGAAAAACGCCTCCGTGGGGCTGAGGAGAATTCACTACGATGTTTCAAAATAGTGACTTATTGTCCTTCAAGGAATGATTCATCTCGAAGGTCGCTCCGTGCCGCCCGGGATGGAGAGAGCCCTACGAAAAGAATCGGAAAGCACAAAATGGTTCGACTCTCTCTTGATAATCGAATGGATTATATCTCATTGATTCGATGAACGGAAATCCTCGCGAGGGTTTATCGAACCGGGAATGTCAGAGTCGTGTGCTCCATATGATGATTAGGAGTCGAGACGGTGTGTTGAGTGAGCTGAGAAATCGTGTTTCTGCGCTTGGGTGAACCAGAGGTGTCTTGCGGCCTCGACTCTCCTTCCACTTCCCGAGCTCCGTTTTCGACTTCTTTTGACAACCGCTGGGCGTGAGCGATGGTTTCTGTCGGAAGCGAGAATTTCTCATTCGAACGAGGCCTTGAATCGAGCTCAGGGGGCCAAGGACCAATTTCCGCTTCAATAATGCGCTCACTTGACCAGCAAAAGTCCATTGCTCGACGACGGCAATGACCGATTCGGATTCGTTGCACTCGAAGCTAACTCGTTCTCCCATTCGTCAAGCAATTTGAAAATCCCCCGCGGTTTTCTGAAGATCACTCTCTTCAGACTTCCGACACACAGCGCCAGATGATTTCCTGCGGATAAATGTCTGCGTCGTCGTTTGAACGAAGGTCTGCCTCTTGCATGGGATCGCTGAGCCATCTCGCAATTTTGATGTGTACCAATCAGACTCATCTCTGTTTATAGGCATGGTTTCAGAGAATGTTATCCGAAATTCGAAGATTTGGTTCTGTCACATAGCGACAGCCCGGAACGGCCAGAGCTCATCACAGATTCACCTGCCTCCCCTCGTATGAGTCAGGTCAGAACGGGGGGAATGGGGAGTCAGAATAAACCAGAGGCTCACTTTCCAAGCCAGACTCATCGGTTCGAGCACGCAGCGTCTCAGCTGGAAGGATCTCCAGTTCTCGTCATCCCCCCCGGATTTGAGTCGGAGGAGTATAATCGCGATTGCGTTGATCAGGTGGCCAGATGACTGGAAGCGATTGCATTTCCAAAGGATTCCAGCGGAGTTTACCCCGAACTATCGAGTTTCCCGAATGCGCCAGCTCAAGGAGCATCGCGAAAGGAGTTGTGCTTGAAATTTAAGAAGGTTGAGGTCCGAGGAACGTTGAGGTACATTGCCCGAGAAGGAACTATGACTCGATGATAATGAGTCTTTCCGTCCGATTCGTTAATCATTAGAGACGACGGTCAGCACTTCAGCAGTTCGAACAGGGATCGTTCAAAATAGTCACGTATCTCAAGAGCTCAGTTCTCATCAGGGAGGGAGGAGCCAGGAGAAGAAGAGCGGACAAATAACTTCGACGTGACACGGGCTTCTGAGGCGCACAAAAGTCAAAGAACAAACGAAAATCAATGTCATCCTGCCTCTAATAGAGTGCGCTCGTTTCCGAGCGCGGAACCTTACGGACACTCTTCCAGGGAGAGCCCCTCGATTCGCGGCGAGCTCTACTGATTTGAATAAGGCTCCGATCCTGGAGTTATTGCGGAACCATACGACATCCCGCTCCTTTGATGTCGTTCGTCTCTAGAAGAAACTTGCTCTCTGAAATTCTCGCACCATGACCTGCTTGAAAATGGATTTATTGATCCAAGAAGAAGAAAGGTTGAATCTCGCGAAATTCCGAATTCCCGAACATGGCAGGGCAGACCCCCAGAGACTGCGGGTCTCGAATCTGAATTTCTCCGGTGATAGGCTCCCGGAGAGCTACTAATTCATCAAGATCATCCCGAATCTGCATCTAAAAACCCCAACTGGAAATCCGATGGGTGTTCACGTCTCATTTTCAGTGGGGACTCGCCTCGGTATCTCCGCAGTTTCGGCTCGAAAGGACCCGAAAGATTCGAGTATCCGGCCATCCATTTATAAGGACTTGGCAGCTTACAGGCTATCCGTCCGCGGAACTTCATACATAGGTGGCTCAAAATCAACACGACTCGAGCGGTAATGGTAAGGAGAGCTCCCCGTCTTGCTAGCGACGGCGACGCGGCTAAGCCTAACAGATGATTGCTACTCCTCGCCTTCACAACGTCCTGTTCGTCATCTTCTTTTCGTACTGCTCACTCCATCCTGCTCTCACTCAGTCGTGTTTTCCTCCACGCCGGCGCCGGACCGACCCCTCCTCGAAGTTCCTAATCTAATCCCCAAGCTAAATGAACATTAGACTCGAGCAAAAATGTCCGCGTCACCCACCCACCAAACGATCAAGCGACTGACTTTCCGGAGGATTCCCGCCCGCCGAGCATCCACTCCCCCCATTCAATGATTTGCAGACGCAATGATGGCGAGTCCTGGCATCCTAGCAATAGCGTTGACATTGGAATTTTTTGTGCACACACTCCGGAACCATGTCCAGAAAGCATGCGGTGTTTTCTGCAGCGATGGCGGCAGAAAAGAACGTGAGAGAGAGAACTATAGTATAGGATACTCGAAGGGATACAAGTGCTTTGTCTTGACACAGTGCGGTGTATTCGCCTTGGATGCTACCACCGCCGATGTTGCTGCTGCTGCTTCGGCCATAACAACCATGAGCAGGGACTCTAAAAATAACTCTGGAAGCTTTTTTCCTGTCTTTTTTCCTCGTCTCCTCCTAGAGGCATACAACAAGAGGCGTGTGGAAAGCAAAA